GGGGGTACTTTATCACTAATAGGAACTAGAGACCCATGATTTTTGCTTTTAGATATTGACAAGTATGTTGTACCTTTTCATGCTTCATTACTGAATGTCTTTAAGGCAAGCCAACAAAATCGTCGAGAAAAGCATCAACATGTCTTTTCTAAATGTTCTCGCTGTTGTGCCCCCAGCTAAACGCTGAGACAATTGTAGCGCACTTGAGCTTGAGCCACTGTCAAGTTTGTTTCGAGGACAAGTCTTTCATCAGCGGGTGAGCTTCACCCGAGTGTTGAGCTCCCAGTGGAAGGAGTTGTTTCCCACGAGCTTGTCGATAGAGTCGGCATAGCTTGGGCTCATAATCAATTAAAATACAGGACGATGCAAACGAGGCGTAATATCGATGTGAGCAGATGAATGGAAATCTGAATGTAATGAAATAAACTGGGTAATAAATCCTAGCCCTGCCTGTTTTCATCCTACACATGCAGCTCTCTTTGCTAGCTCCCCCATCGCATATCGTTAAGTATCCTGGAACAGGGAATTATTTTTCAAGAGGGAGATGCATAGAAACTCATATAGAAACACGCTTCGATGCACGTGATTATCCAAGTGAATCCCAGTTAGTATGCAAACTTCAACCTGTACGGTCAAATGAGGTCGCATCATTTGTCTCCACTTCAACTAGAGAGCACCACGGTACACGTACGGCACGCGCGTACAGTGTGCATAGGCAGCGGTGGGTATCCAGTTGATTAGGCAGCAAGTGCAACAACAACAACAACAAAAGCAACAAGGGTGCATGCAGCAAATACTCGTTTTGGGAAGCAGACTAGTTAAAGCCTCGACGGCATTATAGTTACTGTTCGCTTCTCCGGATGACGCCCTCTGAAAACTTTTTCTATTTTCAACGTACTTCCGCATTATTACCAGGTTCCAAGGAATAGCATGTCTAAGTCAAGCGCCGTGGAAATGTCTACAAGATGAAAACAGTTGGGGACGAGGTGTGTCATATTGCGACGACTCGTAAGGAGCTGTGGGCTGTGATGCACGCCTAGGCCACATCCCATTCAAGCGCTACGAGCAGCTATTGATCATGTCGGACGGAGTGTAAGTGTCACAGATGGAGTCAAAGGAGACGATGTTTGCGAAGGCTGCTGCACGGGGTAGATGGGGACAGAAGATTTCCCTCGGCGACCGGACAACCTTCTCAAGCGTTCTGAGTTGCTGGATTTGGTGCACACGGACGTAATGATCCCGATGCAAACAAAGATGTTTTGTGGTAGCATGAACGTGGTGACGTTCATCGTCGGTTATTCAAGCCATGTCAGGGAATACTTCATGAAGGCAAAATCGGATGTGTAGTTGAAGTTAAAAAAAGATCTACAAGGCGGTAATGATGAACACAATGGACCAGAAGATCAAGTGACTGCGTTGAGATAACGTCGGGAAATACACAGGTCGACAGTTCAAGTATTATCTCAACCGCGGCGGCATCAAGCACGAGAGGACGGTGCCTTATACATCTCAGCAGGACGGCCTGCCTGATTGAATGAATCAGAGCCTGGTGGAGATGGCTCACTATACGCTCTACCCTGAGGGCACTAAGAAGAAGTGGCGGGCTGAAGCGGTAAACAGGGTGACGTGGATCATCAAACGGATCCCCAACTTGGTGACAATGAAGATACCCTACGAGATTGTATACCGTCCCAAACGGCAGCTCAAACACATGAACGTGTTAGATGCTATCGGTAACGCCCATATTTCCGATGAGAGCGTCACAAGCTGACATCAAGGCTTTCAAGAGCCGTTTCATGAGCTACGAAGATGGCGGCAAGGGCACCAGGTGCAGAACTCACGACGGGAAAAGTGCAAATCCTGCGCACCGTCAAGTTCATGGAAACAGCAAGTCCCGATCACGTATTTACGAATTCGGTAGCCAGCGATAATAGCTACTACTCTCTCGGCTTGATTGTCTGTTCTCTGGTGGTTGGCTGACGCCATCTTGAGCTGTGTGGCGAGGATTCCTGCACTCCATCCAGAACTTGGAAGTAAATTTTGAGTATTTATCGGATACTATATCGGTCGGGAGTCCAAGTAACTTCTCAAATAACCTCAAATAACACTGCGGGTTGCTATGCCATGATTGCTGACACTGTAGGAATTACGTGAGTTCTCTTCGTGAGTCTGTCCACGATCTCAACAACTGTATTGTTTTTCTGATTTTGTAGTGGGCAGCCCGGTAATAAAATCCATATCAATTGAAGCCCATCGACCTGTTGGTATCCTCAGTGCATTCCAAAGTCCTGGTGATTGTCCTGTTCGTCGCTTGTTTCTCTGGCACGACTCACATGTAGCGATATATTCCTTGACTTGCTTATGTATTTTTTTTTCATTTGAAGTGCGACATTGTTTTTCTTCAATAGTCTTCTTGGCGCCCGGATATCCATATGCGACAATATCATGGTATTCTCCCAAAATCATATTACGCATTTCAACATCTTCGGAAGGTATGGATGAATATGTTAGATTATCGGACCATACTTGAACTTTGTAAAGGTGAAAATTTTCCAATTAACTACCATCATTTAATTTTAGCCAATCACAGCTAATAACAATTGAATATTTAGCCAATAGGACACTGTAGGTGTAGGTGAGTCA